ACACACAGTGATTTCATATTTATATACATTGGTCCACTTACCGCCTGTCACTGTAGAAAGTTGTTACATTACTATTGACTATATTTCCTGTGGTGTACATTGCATCTCCATGTCTTATTTATTTTATAACTGCAATATTGTACCTCTCAATCCCCTTCACCTATTTCACTCATACTCCCTACTTGCCTCTCCTCTGGCAACCATCAGTTTGTTCTCTGTGTCTAAGAGACTATTTCCGTTTTATTCATTTGTTTTGTTGTCTAGATTCTACATATAAGTGAAATCTTTATAATATTTGTCTTTCTTGGTCTGACTTATTTCACTTAGCGTAAAGTTCTCTAGGTCACAAATGGCAATGATTCGTTTTTTTATAGCTGACTAATACTCCATTGTATTTAACTTCTTTATCCATTCATCTATTGATGGACATTTATGTTGTTTCCATATCTTGCCTTTTATAAATACTGCTGCATTGAACATAGGGATGCACATGTCTTTTTGAATTAGTGCTTTTGCTTTCTTCAGTTGAATACCTAAACGTAGAGTTGCTGGACTGTATGATATTTCAATTTTTAATTTTTTGATATACCATTTGTGAATATCTTCTCCCACTCAGTAAGTTACCTTTTAGTTTTGTTGATGATTTCCTTTGCCATGCAAAAGTTTTTTTAGTTTAATGTAATCCCATTTGTTCATTTTTGCTTCTGTTGTCCTTACCTAAGGAGACAGATCCAAAAAACATTGCTAAAACCAATGTCAAAGACCTTACTGCCTATGTTTTCTTCTAGGAGTTTTATGATTTCAGTTCTTCTATTTAAGTCTTAATTTATTTTGAGTTTATTTTTGTATAGGGTGTAAGAAAGTAGTCCAGTTTCATTCTTCTGCATATAGCTGTCCAGTTTTCCCAATAGCATTTACTGAAAAGAATGTCTTTTTTTCCATTGTATGTTCTTGCCTCCTTTGTCATAGATTAACTGACCATGTAAGCACAGGTATATTTCTGGGCTCTGTCTTCTCTTCTGTTGATCTACATATCTGTCTTCGTGCTAGTAGCATATTGTTTTCATAACCATAGCTTTGTAGTATAGTTAGAAATCCAGGCACATGGTACCTCCAGCTTTGTTCTTCTTTCTCTAGATTGCTTTGGCCATCTTGGTTCTTTTGTGGTACCATACAAATTTTAGGATTATTTGTTCTAGTTTAATGAAAAATGCCATTGGTATTTTGATAAAGATTTTATTGAATCTGTAGATTACTTTGGGTAGTAGGGACATTTCAACAATAGTCTTCCAATCCATGAGCATGGTACATTTTTCTGTGTATTTGTGTCATTTTCAATTTCTTTCAGTGTCTTATATTTTTCAGAGTATAGGCCTTTCATCTCTTTGGTTAAATTTATTCCTAGGTATTTGATTCATCTTTATTTGTAAATCAGATTGTTTTTTTAATTTCTCTTTCTGGTAGTTTGTTATCAATATATAGAAACAATAGATTTCTGTATATTGACTTTGTGTCCTGCCCAAAATGAATTTATTTATTAGTTTATTAGAATGTATTTATTAGTTCTAATAATTTTTGGGTGGAAGCTAATGCCTTCTTATTTTCCCATCTTTGTAACTTGCTAGCTGTAAACTCATGAATAATCAGTTTATTTCTCTTGTCCTCACTTCTTCACATGTGAAAAATGAGATATAATCCCATTCTTATCACAGTAGGCACAGCCATGATGGAAAATAAAAATTCTGGCTACTGCTCTTCTGGTTAGGTAGCATCCTGGTAGGTAGGCTATGTCTACTGTGATGAGATATAATCACCCAAAGAATAAAACAAGATGAGGTATGTGAAAAATCTTATAAAGCTCTAACCAAGTGAAAAATAATTTTAATATATTTGTTATATACAAATATGATAAAATATAGATAATCCCAAATAATAAAATAAAAGCACCTATAATACTATGATCCCATTGACTACCATTATATGACTCATCCATTTTTATTAAACCATTAAATCACTCTGTGTCTACTATGTGCCACATATTTGCATCTACTTCCACCTGTTTACTTATCTGTCCATAAACCTATTAATTAATTATTTTGTTCTGTTTTTGTTTTAGCAATTAATTATTAAGAGTTCCTATCATGTGTCAGGCACTATTCTAGGTTTCAGATATTCAAAAGAAACAAACAAAAAACTTGACACATTAGAATGCTTTATTTAGGTAGCTTATATTAAACAAGATAAAAAGAGCTACATAGTATTTTAGATATCAATATTTGCTAAAGAGGAAAAATGAGCCATTGATGGAGGTTAGAAAAATGTGATTGGAGGAATGGAGTTAAAGATTAGAGAGTCCAGGAAAAGCCTCCTCTAGGTGACCTTGAGTAAAGAGCTGAAAGAAGTGCAGGAGTTATGTACGCAGATGTCTGGGCAAAGAGTATTCTGTCAGAGGGACCCGCATGTGCAAAGGCCCTGAGATGGAGTATGGCTAGACTGTTCAAGAAATAGAAAGGAGTGTCCTTCTGTGTGGCTAAAGCAGTGTGATGACAAAACAATAGGGACAAGATCAGAGAGTTAGCAGGGGTCAGATCATGTAGTGTCTCTAAATCAGAACAAGGTCTGAGGTTTTGTTCTGAGTGAAAAAGAATGCTACCTAACCAGAAGAGCAGTAGCCAGATTTTCTATTTTCCATCACGGTTGTGTCTACTGTGATGAGAATGCACGGCAGAAGGGCAGGGAGAAACAAGGATGAGGCTGGAGGCTATTTCAGTAATCAGGTGTGAGATGATAGTGATGCAAATCAGGGTGATAACCAAAAAAGAAGGAAGATATTTTTCAGGTAGAGATGGCAGAATTCATTGCTGAATAGGATGGTGGTTATGAGAAGAAAAAAAAAAGCAATCGAGGATGACACCAATTCCTTTATTTTCAAGGTTCCTCCAGAATATTATCTTAAGTAAAGTAAAAGCAAGGCTTAAGTGTGAATAACAAATGGTCGATGTAAGAGCTTGTGTTCCCTGTGTTTGAACAGAAGCAAAGAGCCCCAAAGTTTGGGTTCATCCAGGTCTAGAGCCCATTCCAGGAGCCCCTTTTGTGGTCTGTGTGCTTCCTAAAACTATTGGTAGTTGAGTCTTGAGCCCTATCCTTGAATTTTCTGTTCTCAATGGAAATCACCGTGGCAAAGATCTACTTTAGACTGTATTTCTAGGGTTATTTCAGCTCACCTGGGCTCCCCCTGGGTCTTGAAGAGAATTGTTGCAATAATAAAGAAGTTGATGTATTGCATACACTTTACCAAAGTTAAATCCAGACATCAAAAAGGTTCTCCCACTTAACCAAATCTTAAACAACCCTACCTTGATCAGTACATATTCTGTACTTTATTTTTATTTTTCTTATTTAAAAATTGTAAACACAACTTCCCTCTTCCAGTTTACAGCAGAAGAGGTTGACCAGGCTGAATTTACAAAAGCAGGAAAAGCATGCTCTTCAGGCACTCATTCATTCATTCATAAGTTCATTCAAAGAAAATCTTACCAAATAACTTCTATGAAACATTATACTTTATAAGACTAGAAGGTTCATTTTGTTGTGTTCAGTAATGGTGACACCTGAGAAGAGACTTTAAGAAGATAGCTTCGCGGTTAAGATTGAAGTGGGTTAAATACCATTTCAGCCACTTTCTTTCCGTGCAGTACTAAATGTATCTCTGAACTTCTCTGAACTTGAGTTGCCTCATAAAATGCAGATAGTGTTACTCATTTCACAAGATTTGTGTGTGAAACAAAGGAATTAATGTTAATGTGTGGTACAGAGCCTGGAATTGTAGTTAGCCAGATTGCAGTTCTCATTCCAGTCTTAAAGTTTGAAGAGGTACATGAGGATAAAGTGTAGATAAGAGTTGTGGGGGTGTATCTTTTTCTTTCATCAGTTGATTTGAAGCAGTATACTCTTCCATATTGTGTGTGCTGCAGGATAGCTGGAGCTTGAGATACTGCTTCAGTCAGTAGTTTAGGTAACAAAATAAATTAAAAGTAAATAATGAAATCCTTCAAATAGTCTCTCCCCTTCCTCTCCCATGACATCAGCCCAAAATAATGGCAATTGAGTAATCCGCAGACACAAAAAATCTCAGGAAGAATTGAGCTGGAGGTATGCAAAAAAGCGAGGGTAGAGGCCAAGTTAATCAAGCTTGTGAATTGGCTGCAACTTTCTAACAGTTCTGAGGGGCTCTAAATAAAAGTAATGAAGGTTATAAATTGAGAACATAGTGTTGCTGCAAAGCAGAGCTGGCCTGACACTCCTCAGTAAGAGGCTCTGGGAGGGAAAAAAAAGAAAAAGAAACACACAATAAAAAGGAATCTCAAGGTTCTTGGTACAGAGAGTGGGTCTTCTCTGCATATCCTAATCAAGCTGGAGTATTTTTTTTCACTTGTTGGGCAAGGAAAATGAGATTGGTCTCTGGCTTCCATACAGAATGCAAATGTCCATCTTTGCTCTGGAGGTGATGGTTTGGGGGCTGGGCACAAGAGCATGGCAGAATGTTTTGAATACAATTCACCCATAAGCATTAGGTTCCACTGTGACTGTAATGCTTGCCCAGACAGATACATGCCTTTATGTACACATGCATGTATCTATTTATGATCAAAAAGTATAACATTTTGTACTGCCACAATCAGTTAAGCTGCCAGTGTCTGTGTTAAAAGGCACACTTGTTATATGAGACTTAGAATCATAGCATTTCAGAGCCGAAAGGGATCTGAACAGTAAGAAAGAGCAGTTAATAGTTAATAACTGTGGCTCTGAAGGGAGTCTGCTCAGGAGTGAATCCCAGATCCGCCATTAAAGTCTCTTTGACCTTGATTAAGTTCCTTAAACACTCTGTTCCTGGGTATTCTCATCTATAGAATGGAATAGAACAGTGTACTCCTCCTAGCATTCTTAGAAGGACTGAATGACAGAATCTGTGTAAAACACGTAACATAGTAAGTGCTCCATGTATGCTTTTTATTATCATCATAAACATTATGTTACTTCTTTAGCTCTCACAGCTAGTTAAGTATGCTTGGTGTTTGTTCTTACTTTACAGATGTTAAACCAAAGAGTCAGTAATCTTAAATTACGTAAAGAATAATAGTGGAGGCAGGAATGAAATCCAGGTGTGTCTCATTCCAAAATCCATGCTCTCAGGCCGCACAGTGTTCATTGGTCACTCTCCAAGTAGTAAATCAATGCCCCTTAGGTGGTCATCTGGCACATTTCCATGGCCTTCCGTCCTCTACTTTTCTCTGCCAAAAGAAGCTGGCCAAAAAAAAAAAAAATTGCTTTGTAGGCTTCAAAGACTTGCAGGAGCTCACTCATGTTGCTCTATGTCAGAAACAAAAGTAAAAAGCCTATCAAGATATATACAAACATAAGAACCAAGAAAAAAGACTGAGAGCCATTTCATGAAGTCATGGAAAGGTCACTCTTGTGTCTTGATTTAACCTTATGAATCAAGGTTAACTTTTATTGTTTCTATCTCACTTTCACTCAAATGCCAATAGGTCACTACTTAAAGCTTAAACCTAAAACTTGTGATTTTCCAAGAGCTACAATGCTGGGTTTAAAACAAAAAGTAATAAAATTAGAAACACTCAGTTTGAGTTATCATAATATTAGCAGGAGTCTAACATTTTCTAAATCCAGTTGAGGATATTTTGGCACTCATGTTTAGTCTGTTATCTTTCCAAATTATGTTCACTGAAACATGTGAGCAAAGCAGATTTCTCTCATTTAATTTGAGGTTGCTAGAACTGGTTATTTACATATGAAATTTCATGGACTTTTGAAGATTACAGTACAAGTTTAGGAGGAAAAATATCATTTGATTTTAATCTATTTGATAAGGGCATTCCAGTAACTAAAACTAAGGTACTCAAATCCTGGTGAATAGCTATTTTTAGTATAATCAATTGTATTATTAGCAACCACCAAGGTCATTCCTAAAGGTAACAAGCCCACTAGCCATTTTTATTAGGGGTTGTTATAAAGAGATAGACAGTCACAAATGCCACCTGATTCAAAAGATTAGTATTTTAGTACAAAAGAAGACTTGGAGTCTGAAAGGTTAACTACGTGAAACTTGAGCCAAAACATTCTGTGCTTGGCACTTCAATTCGTCCACATGAGAAATATGATGCTTGGAGAGAGGGTTATTAACTGGAAAGATGGGATCCCTGGGCTATGCTGCTCTTGGGTGTGCTGTGAGGCTCGGACAAGTCACAGTTCCTCTAAGCAACCTTGATTCTCTTATATTTAAAAGGCAACCTTTCCTTGGAGTTGAAAGTGAAGTTTGTCAGGGCCCATAATGCAAAACAGATGTACTCAAATGGCCCTTTGACTATCCCTTCACATTAGAAACTTACAATGTCACCTCTCCAGAAGTCTGAAACAGCCCGTATTCCTCCAATTTTGGAGCAGATCATAGTATCTTGGATTAATTACCAGATACAACAATTGGTTTATGTTTGGGAGTAATATTTTTTAAATGGATCATTAAATTCCAGAATTGTATGAATGTGGCAAGAGACTGTGTGAGAAAGATAGGGGGACTGAGGTACCCTAAGTATTAAATCTTCTACCTTTCACACTTACTCTGGAGTGCCTGGTATTTATAGCCTATGTAGGTGTACATTTATATGCATGTCCCTGTGTACATATTTAGTGGTTAAGACTGGGTTTTTGAATCAAGATATGCTTTTGAATCCACATAAGTTAAATATGGGCACCTTCAGTAGACCTCAGAAAGAGCCAAAGAGGGACCAAGGTGAGTGGACATTTGTTCCCAAATAGACCATGTTCTTCCTTACCTCCACACCTTTGAGTGTATGGTCTTTCTTCTAGGAACATTGATCTTGTGAATCTCTTCACTTCATTAGCTCCTGTTCTTCCATTGGCTCTTAGCACAGACAGATGTTCCTTCTTTTGTGAAACCTTCTTTAAACCCTTAATTCTAAGTTAGATGTCCTTTCTATATGTTCTTATATCATCAAAGATATTTCCTCTCAAAACCTTTCTCACATTAATATATAATTGGTTGGGGACTTGGCCCTTTGCCACTTATTTTATTGAGCTACTCTTGTGTGCCAGACACTCTTCTAGGCAGTGGAGATAGAACAGTATGCATGTGTTTAATAATTGAATAAATGCACAAATAGATTTTAAAAAGTTATTTTCAAGTTGTAATAAAATCTTTAGAGTTTTATCTATAGAGAGGAACACTAAAAGGGATTCCTTGATAAATATAATTTTAAAAAGTCACACCTTAACAAAATGCCCAGACTTTTTTCTTTTTGCTCTATGGTCAGTGGTAGCAGACGTGTTTGGGGGTAGATCCCAAGAACTCTAGATTCTAGGATGATGTCTCTAATCTAAGACAAGACCATAAAGATAGGTTGTGCTATGTTTATGTACAAAGTTTGCTTGTCACTCCAGGCCTCAGGTGACTAGAGAAGGGACAAATAAAACTTGAGTCGAGAGGCTTCCAGGTACTGAAAACCAGTGGCCCCAAGGTGGAGCTGGGGTTTTAAGGTGGAGGTGAGTTGGGGTGTGGATCCAGGAAGGGGAGAAGGCACGTAGGCAAGGCTGGGAGAGAAAGCACACTCATTATGGGTACAGGAGTGCCTTCTGGTGCATGGTGGGAGGAATCCAGCCAGAAATGTCAATTATTAAAAGTACTACGAGCCCACTCAAAACTCTGGGCAATCAGGGATCTTTGGTTCAGATGGTGACCCGCAGCGGCAAGACCAATATCCCAGGAATATGAAGACCTGGGATCCATTTCCAGCTTGGCTAATATCCAGTCCTGTGACCCTGGGCAAACCACCCCTTTTCTAGCTCCATCTTCTCTAGCTGCAAAATGAGGAGTTTGGGCTACCCCCTAAATATAAAGTCTCTATTTCTCTTTATTTAATAGACTGGGACACCATGGTAGCTTGTTGGTCAGTGGGAGCCTTTGAAGCAGGGATCCCCTGCATACCCATTGTCTGCTTGCAACCCAATTGTGTCTAGAGTGTAGGCAGGGGAAAGCACAGGAGAGGTGGGTGGGAGAGGAGTGTCTGTGAAGTAACATAGTTCCCCACAAGGATGCTACATTTTGAAGTCAAAATTAAAACCAATGGGGGAAAAGTGTACTTCAAGGTGAACGATCATTATTAGTGTTTCATTTTCACAATATATTTGGGCCAAGATCTGGAAGAGTGGTTCAGAAACATATGTGGGAATATCAGAGTGAAAGAGGTCCAACTTGAACCAGCCTCTCTAGAGGAGGTGAGTGCCTATGTTGGCCTACAAAGAAGGAAATGACTGACCAGTGATGATAAGGTGACAAAGGAGGTGGCCTAGGTCTTCTAGGTTAAGGGAATACCTAGAGAAAAGAGCCAGAGCTTTCTATTCTCAGAGTAATGCATTTAGATGCATTGTCAATTTTTTTTAAATTACAGACATTCCCATTTGCTGAGCACTTGACAGTTGCTGAGCATTCTACTGAGCGGTTTCCATGTATGATCTCATACAGTTGTCCTAACAGTCTTACAGGTCTTTTCCATTACCACCTCCATTGCATGAATGAGGAAAAGTAGAGACTTGGGGAGAGTAAGTGACTTGGCCAAGAATATACAGCTAATTAGAGTCGGAGTATGAGCTACAAACCCTTAAATCCAGAAGACCTTCTAGCAGGTAATGGTGATTCACATGTTTTTTGTTCCATTAGGTATAAAACTGGTCACAAAGCCTCTCACCATGCGTTAGTGATACTACAGTCACTTGGATTTCCTTAGTTTACACATTTGCCAGTGTTCTGAAGCACTGAAGTAACCATGCTAATGTGATTGTCGGGGCAGCAGTATGATCCGGGGCACTGTGTGGTGTGGGTGGCTGAGGGTAGGCTCTGCAGCCAGACTGTCACAGGTTCCGTTCTCGCTTCTGACTGTGCAACTCAGGGCAAGTCCCCTGGTCTCTTGAATCTAGATTTTCCCATCCATAAAGGGGAGTGCTGAGGATTAAATGAGTTAATCTATTTGAAAGTTTTATACAAGTGTTGCATAGCAAACAGTGAAAATACACTACATATGGCCAGTTGTTATCATCGTCGCCTGCCTTATCACCTTTAATGGATTTAAGTGTAAATATCTGGGCTGGACAGCAAATTTTCTAGTGTGCATTATTTTAAAAGTCAGATAAAATTCAGGATATTGTGCCTCAACTGTAAACAAGGGGCTATAACAGTCCCCTATAATATTAGTGTATGCCTCAGTGAAGTGAAATATGTGGAAATGTTTTCTGAAACACAAAGCCCCATACAAATCTCGATGGTACTTTGGTGATGATGAGCTGCTGTGGGCTCCCTCACTCTCTTAACTTAAGTGCTCCAGAACATGGAGAGGTGGGGGTTCCCCTGATGGAATGCTGGCCACTGTGTGTTTGGTTGTTACTGCTGTGGGACCAGCCAAAACCATCTCAGGCTCACCCTGGTATTTCAAAAACAAAAAGTTGTACTCCCAAAAAGTGTTTCAGAATGGTCCACCAAGTTCAGGTATGTTTATCCACTGTTTTTCTCTATTATATTTCTCTTGGAGAAGTAAACACCAGTTAAAAGTGTGCTTTCAAAAGAATGCCTTTTATGAGCATGGAGGATTGAACATTCCAGAGTGTCTAACAGATTCTGGGATCTTACAGCCTTGAGGAACTGCCTAGTATAGGCTTCTGAATCAAGATGGACTTTGGGAATGATCAGCCATCCTCTTTTTCTCTTGTTCATGCTCAGAAATAAATGATCTTATTGTGAAGTGATGACACAGAAGTAAATGAGCTTTTGGGCATGTCACATGCCTCTGGATATTTGACAGCTCCAAATGGTGTTATGTAAGAAGAGCCCGCTGTGTTTAAGTGTAAGTATAATCACTGTGTGTAGACATGTCAAGGTTGTGAAAATTCAGATTCTGTTTTCATGTGCAGTATTAAACACTGGGTACAGAAACAACTGCTGTCTGTTGTAGTACAGCCTGCCAGATAATTAATGTTCTTTTAGCTTAAATAATTGGGAGGGGTGGCACCTCAGGGAATGCTAAACATATTTTTAATTGCTATATAAATATGTCACTTCCTTGCTAATTCATGTTATGCATGGGAGCTTATATAATACCAGAGGGCCTCCAGGCATAATGTACTGCACCTATAAGCAGAGTTGAAGGACTAACACGGCCCAGCTGAAAATAAAATATTCTTTGCTAACTCTGTCTTAGTAGATGAAGAATAGATGTTGAAGCATGACATTGCTTTATAAAAGCAGAAATATTGTTTGGCAGAGTATGGTCTCTAAATAACTTTCTGAGATGTTGGAAAGAAAATATTGTCAATAAAAATATGTGCCCCAAGCAATCCCAAGAACAATTTCCTTATTTAGGAGAATATACATGCTAAGGGGAAATGAGTATTGTCTTTGGCATGAAGTAAAATACACAGGATGGTGGAGGACATTAGTTTTCATTGCCCACATTCATATTACAGTCTGAAATTGGTCTCATCAATTTGGTATCTCTGAAAAGCAAAGATTCCTTTACCTATAATTCTTGTACTCTGCTCTTTCTGACTCTTCTTAGACAGGGAGAGGGAGAGGAGGCACAGGGGGTGATTCTAAGTAAGAAGAGGTATGAAGCTGTGCTGAGTCATCTTTTCAGGATCAGTGGATACTGATGGATCGTCTAGCCAGATGAGCTGTGTAAATTGGATCTAACATTCTGAGTCTGCAAAGAAAGCATACATTGTGGAGTGAATCCATTTTTATTGATAGGAGCCCCAACCTGTGATTCTGCATTACCATCAGGAACATGGTGTGGTAGTAAAGCAAAGTAGCTGTTGAGAAATTCAAGATGTGAGTACAGGAACTGTGTGTTCTTTAAAAAGCTTCCCGACAATAGTTTCCTTGAACACCTCCATTTGTGCCATGGACCCCGGTTCATTAATAGAAAGGCGATCAATGGATTAAATACAAAAAAGCAGATTCATTCAATGACCAGGTGCCAGCCCAATGGCGACCTTTGGCAAACACAGTAGTCAGATATAGACAGCAATCAAATTGCAATCAGATGTGCCCAATCACGGATTATTATTTTATTTGCAAGGGCCTTAGAGATGTCCTTTAATTTAAAGCTGAATGGAATCAGAAATCAATTAATGACTGATTGCTGTTTCTCCTACAAATTGATTTTGGATTTGGCAGCCTGAAGACCCTATTGTGCCAGAATCCATGCATGGGCTACATTAAAATACAGCTTGGAACTTGAATCAGTGAATAAGACCAGTTCCTCCAACTTCTTCAGAAAGCTGTTTTTTCCTTAACAAAATAAGTTGGCTATCTAAATTTTTCTCACTCCCATTCTTGGTTAACCTTCCATGATTTTATTCATTCCAAGATTTTATTAACCTATAACTTTTAGCAACTGAAAAGGAATGATGGAAATGCATTTGTATTTTGAATAACTCCCTAAACACATTTGTGGCAGTGAAAAACCTAATTCCAATGTCATTTTGAAATCTAAAATATTGAAACCAGAAAGTCCCAATGCTGGTCTTGAAAAAACAAAATGTTATTTACACATCTACTAAAATTTCATCACATGTACACACCTGAAATGTTGGATTTGACCTTGTAATGGGTGTGGAAGAGGAAGGAAGCTACAATCCTTATCTAGAGTGAGCAAGATCCTTATCTAGATGAACCTGCTAGGATACTGTACATTGCCTCCCACCACTTACCAACAAAGGCATGCATACACACACTCATATATTTAAAGAGGCCAACATTTCTGAAACTCCCTCTCCCCAAGTCTCTTCAAAGATAAATTTCCCTTATGTAGCTTCCATATCTCGATTATTGTAAATAATGCTGCAGTGAGTGTAGGGGTGCATATGTCTTTTAGAATTAGTGCTTTTGTTTTCTTTAAGTAAATACCTAGAAGTGGAATTACTGGGTTGTATGGTATTTCTACTTTTAGTTTTTTGAGGAACCTCCATACTGCTTTCCACAGTGGCTGCACTAATTGACATTCCCACCAACAGTGTATGAGGGTTCCATTTCTCCATATCCGTGCCAGCACTTGGTATTTCTTGTCCTTCTGATGCTAGCCTTTCCGAATGGTGTGAAGTGATATCTCATTATGGTTTTGATTTGCATTTCCCTGATGATTAGAGAAAATTGACATTCCCACCAACAGTGTATGAGGGTTCCATTTCTCCATATCCGTGCCAGCACTTGGTATTTCTTGTCCTTCTGATGCTAGCCTTTCCGAATGGTGTGAAGTGATATCTCATTATGGTTTTGATTTGCATTTCCCTGATGATTAGAGACGTTGAATAACTTTTCATGTGTCTGTTGGCCATCTGTATGTCTTCTTTGGAAAAGTGTCCATTCAGGTCCTCTGCTCAGTTTTTGGTCAGATAGATTTTTTTTTTTTGGTGTTGAGTTGATAAATTCTTCATATATTCATATATAATTTGCAAATATATTCTCCCACACAGTAAGTTACCTTTTTCTTTTGCTAAATGGATAAGTAAGATGTGTTACATAATACAGTGGAATATCACTCAGCCATAAAAAGAAAGAAATCTTGCCATTTTAGATATACCTAGAGGGTATTATGCAAAGTGAAATAACTCAGAAAATGACAAACATCATATGATTTCACTTACATGTGCAATCTAAAAAAACAACAAAAAAAACTGAACAAAACAGACTCAGCAATACAGAGAACAAACAGGTGTTTGCCCCAGGGGAGGGAAGTGGGGGGATGAACAAAATCAGTGAAGAGATTTAAAAGGTATAAACTTCCAATTATAAAGTAAATCATAGGGATGACAAGTACAACACTGAGAATGTAATCAATAATATTGCAACATCTTTGTACAATGGCAGATGGTTACTACGCTTATGGTATTTCATAGTGTATATAGTTGTTGAATCACTATATTGTATACCTGAAACCAATTTAATATTGTATATCAACTATATTTCAATAAAAAGAGATGAGCTTCCTTTGTATCTTATTCCTATGGGCTTTTTGTTGGCTACTTAATCTGGGAGGGCAAATACAGGCTTAGCAAATTCCTCCTCCTGCAATACGTATATATGTCCATTTGAAATGTTGCCCTGAAGGGCCTGCCCAAAAGGGATAGCTGACAGGAATTCCTGATCCTTGTTCCCCTGGTTAAGGGAGACATTCTTATGTCTCAGGATTAGGGTTGTTTCTCATCTCATCTCATCCAGAGATCTTCTAAGAAGATTGAAACTCTTGCTTATGAACGCTGGAACTAACTCCAGAAGGATAAAGCTCTAAGGACGTTCTGGACATTCTGGGCAGTGTTTGCTTTGTCAGCTGTCAGATAGCATAATGATTAAGAGCAGAGATTCTGGACCAGACTGCCATTACTTTTTAACTATGTGACCTTGGCTGAGTTACTTAAATTCCTTGTGTCTCAGTTTTCTTAGGATAAGAACAGTCCATATATGAGAGGGTTGTTGTATGACTAAATTAATTAATCAGACCTGACGCATAGTAGTACTGCATATATGCTGGCTATTTTTTTGAAATTGCACAGGGCATAAAACAAAAAGCAAAAAAACAAATCCAAGTCCAGTATGTTTTCTTTGACTACTTTCTTAAATTCTGGACAAGAATACTCTTTTGTGAAATATTGTGGTAGTTTGCTTATTATGTTAGTATTTGCTGTGCTACCTTTAAGTAATAGTTAATATCTAGTACTTTACATAAACTTTAAAAAAGTGTAGCAGGTGACCCTTATTTGCAACCTTGGTCCATTGAATGCACATGTACTGGATGTATTCCCAGGGATTTCTCAAGTGCAAGCAACAGTAGGTCACACTGAGTATAGACTTCCCCTTTTATGGAACCTGTTTAAAGCTCTCTGTCTCCTCTATCTTGCAACATTACCCTTATTATATCAGTATAAAACTGATTGAGTGCCAACAAGATGCTCATATATGTATACTCTATCCACACACTCAACAAGTGTTTGTTGAAGTCCTGCCATCAAAAATACAGCAGGGAGAAATAGAGTCTTCCACTTCATGGTCTAGTGAGACAGGTAGGCACTGAACACAAACGATAAAAGGGAGGCATGTCACGGAGCAGCACAGGGCAGGGAAAACCTGCCTCAGTAAATTAAATATAATGTAAGCAGTGCTTTTACAGTGTTACTGATTTAAACGCTCAAATGTTAGGGGTGTTTATACTCACAACATCCTGTAGGCTACATCCGACCAAGGTTCATGCTGTCTGTGGTGGAGTAGAGACTGTACTGGCTCATGAGAGCTAATTGTTAAATTCTCAGGAATTTTGCCAACTGAGTCAGTTATAAAATATGCCCACTATTAAAATGATGCATAAATGTATAGTTAAATTAATTAAAATGAAGGCAATAAGTACTTGACCATCATTACTTCTTAATTATTTTTAATACATTTTAAGGCTGTTTATGCTCTTGAGGTTATCTGGACTATGGCATGTGTACAGTGGGAATAGTACATAGTGGTGTACCCCTGCGCTTCTCTTCCCAACTCTGTGCTCAGGGAAGTCATGTTGGTAGTTGATAACTTAAAATTGGCCTTGCTGAGAGTATTTATACCACAGAAGTTGGCAAGCACTATAAGTTGTTATTTTGCTTCTGTTGTTTTGTTTTTTCCCCTAGAGATCCTGTTTTTATTCAGTAGCACAGCTCTGTTTTACTTCAGTGCTTCACATCCAGAGCATCTAGCTGCCTCTCTGGTCTGGCTGGCCATTAGTAAGATGCTGTGCAATCAACTAAAAGGCAAAATCAGGAGACTGATGATTTAACTTCTAATACCAACTGTGCTGGCTGCTGATCACTTTTGCATTCTGGGCATGTCACTTAAGAAATGTCCGTTCTTGGCACTCAAAAGAATGATGAATAAGATATGGTTCTCATTCTCAAAGAGGTCGTGTTCTAAGACAGACATATCTAACAAACTTCAATCATTTCTGATCTAATGGTGTTTTGGGAGGAAGACAAGGGAACATCTCCTATTGGATACTTGAGAGTACTTCATTGACAAAGTGATATGGGAAGGAGGACCTGAGCAGAATGCACTGGCTCAGCAGGCAGAGGACCACCTGGGCAGAGGTGAGCTGGTCATACCTGTGTCACGGGTGGGGAACTTCTGTGTGTGGCAGTAGTGGGTGAAAAAGGATTATAAATTGGGGCCAGATTGGGACAGTACTGGGGATGGCAACAAAGCTTGAATTACTTTTCTACAAGTTAGGTAATGATCTCATCTCTATTTTGAACATATTAGCTTTGATAGCTGCAGAAAAGGATAAATTGAAAGGATCAGTGTATCAGAAAATATCTAGAAAACAAATCTGAGAATTATCAGATTGAAGAGAAGAGATTATGGTTGGCTGAGAAGGATGATAATAGTGACCATTGCTTTATCCGCCCACAAAAATGAGCAAATATTACATTCTCTGATCTGGGCCACACCATGACTTTTGCAGGCTAGACGCACTTTTGCTTTCTGGCTGCCTTACCTCACAAAAATGTATTAAAATTACATTTTATGATTCAAGATGGTGGCGTGAGAGGTGAGACAGAGAATTCCTCCCCAAACCACAGATAGTGTGAAAATATAGTTAATACAACTAGCCCTAAAACAGCAACAGGAAAGAAGGCTACCCCGGACTGCAAACAGACCTCACGAACAGAGCAG